AAAAATATTGTAAATAGTATAGATAAAATTAAAATTTTTTTTCAGTATTAAAATGATCTTTTTGATCTTTTAATTTTTTATTAATACTTATGTCAAGTATATATTTATACAAATAGATCTATATTAAACTTTCAGATAAGTGTACAACTAGTTACATATATAACTTTTCTATATTATCTATTTAAGAAGTCTGCCTGAAGGTTTTCTACTAATTGCTATACCTAATACTTCTGCTTAGATGTTTTATTTAAACTTTCTAATTTGACTTTGATATTAATTTTATCAAATCACTTAACTCAGATCTTTTTGTCTCAACTTTAGAACAATTTTATCCTCAAGATAAACTTACCAGAATGAGCTATATATTCTTTATCTATTGCTAATCTGAATTTTCTGCTATGATCAAGATTAATACTTGCAGTCAGTATTATTTATTATATTGCTATTACTTTTGTAAAATTTATCCAAATCCTAGTACCTGTTTTTTTAACATCTTTTTCATCATCTTCTACTAGCTACAACTCAGAATTGACAGACTTTCCAGATTTCCAATTCAAATAGTCTAGTATGATATACTTATATATCCTTTTCCTTTAGCAATTTTAGTAGTCTGGTTGGCCATATGCTCCTTTACACATCTTGTCATTCAGTTCATTTAATAATTTTTATAAAGGTGTTTTATAGACTTTCATTAGTTCAACAGCACTATCAAAAGTTTGTGCTATCTTTTTACTTAGGATTTCTAAGTGGGCTTTTGTCTTCTCAGTTTCTTAGTTTTTTATACTTAGTGTCTTATTATGAGTTTGCATTAAAGCTTTATACAATACCAGTTTTTATATTCCTTAATATATATATAATATTACATTTTATATAAATGCCTTGAGCTTTTAAAATCCGATAAGCTCTAATCTGATATACTTATGATTACAGATGCATAAACCCAACTGATCAACAAGAAACAATTATCATAATACAGATATAATTTTCAAAATTCATTATTCATAAAAATTGAACTTTAGACCTGCTACTTAGGGTTGAAAATCTATTCACTTCACTAGATTGCTATATTCCAAAGATTAGGATAATTAAAACTAAACTAAATATAATAAACATTAAAAAAAGTTTGTATAAAAAATTATATATACAGTCCTTACTCCCTATAGTCATCTTCTATATAATCACTAACTTCATACAATCATATAGTTTTTAGATACTGATTTTTTTGTTATTAAAATCCCTTCTATATAGTTACAAATGCTTATAATCACTATCACATATATTCTCATATTTATAGATGCTTTTTAATAGTAAAATGCCTTCTATACAATTACATCTATATTTAAGTTATATAACAGTAAGATTAGTTTCCTCAGACTGAGAAGAGGTTGGATTAATTTCTAGCTCTTTTTCTTCATTCTCATAAAAGTCACACACTTTTCAGTATTTTTGTTCTTGTTTATTATTTCGAGGCATGGCAATAAATCTTTAGTCAGTAAACTTGACAAAACTCCACTTTTTCTATTTTTGTGCAGATGCTTTTTTTAGTTTTTGTATAGAAGATCGATAATCAAAACTCCATTGTTTTTAAAATCAAATACTGTAAATTCTTCTATTAAATGATTCATTATATTTTTTATCACATCACTAGAAAATCTCACATGAGTGCTGTCAAAAGAAAACCTGTTATTAAACTGTTATATCAGTTAGCTGTCTATAGAAAATCTATCATAATGATAGATTTTCTATAAGCAGCTAACTGTACAAAAAAGTCAGATAACAGATTTTTCTTTAATATTCTTATATAATACAATAAAGGGATTTAAATTAAATAATCATTTATAATATTTTACAATTATATGCAATCAGACAACAATTAGATAATTGTATAGTTATTAAGCAAAATTGTCATGGCTGTTATATGTTAATTTTTTAACTTTCATTTTTTTCTAGTTGTAATACCTGATACAAGCTGACCAAGCATACCAACACTCAAACAAGCAGAAACATAATAAATTATTAAAAGATATTAGAGACCAAAATTACATTACTATGTGATAACTAAATTTGACTGAATTTTGATTTTCGGCTGATCTTACTAAACCTAATGCAGTAATTCAGATATGATTAGCTATAAAATAAAATAGTAAAAATAATGATCACAAATCTGCATTTACCAGAAGGTGTCATAGCATTTTAGTAGCACAGAAAAAAAACTAATGATAGCTAACAAAGAACAATATTGCAACAAATAATAAATGAAGAACTAGTAGATAAGAAATAAAATATCATTTATTATAACAATCATACTTTCCTTAATTCTAACTATTATTAAACCTGAATCCCTTTATCTGTAATGCTCAAAGCTAATCTGCATAAGCCCATTTATTACTCTCCTAATTTCAGGCATTAAAAAATAATAACTTATTGTGTTATTTAACTTGCATCTATTAAAATAATTATTAAGATGAATTAAAGTGCATTTTTTAGTAGTAATTAAGAGTAAAAATTAGTTTTAGAGTAGAATTTATATTAAACAAGTATAAGTGGGTTTTAAAAGATTAAATAGAAACCCACATTTCATTTTAATCTGATTTTATTATGATCAGTAATAATTATTAATTATGTGAATTTAAATCCTAATTCATTATATCAATCAAAAGACTTAGCACAGAATAAATAAAGTGAGCATTTGTTAGTAGCCAGAATGTCTATAAATTGAATATTAGTAAAAGGACTGCCATTCTTTAAAAGAGTATTATGCATATTACACTAAGCAAAACTAGAAATAATGATTTGTTTAAATTATTAATTAATAATGAAATTCTAATGTTTACTTTGCAATAGTTTAAATAAAAAAAATTTTGTAACTGTATTAATTAGATTTAAATTTATATTATTGTACTTATATAAAAGTGATTATTATTAAATAAAGTAAAAGTGCAATTCATTTTATATTTTTTATTAAATAAAGTAAAAGTGCAATTTGTTTTACATTTTTTAAGTGAATATTTAGTCTTACCTATATGTCTGAAAGTTCATCACAAAAAAAAACAAGGACAGCTATTAGTGATTATTTAAAATAAGAAATATGTGAATATAGTTAAAGCCATCCTCATGTAAAACAACTAGATATTGCAAACTACTTTAATTTTCAAAATTCCAATTTAAATTTAGATTGGACCACAATTTCTAAAATTTTAAAGAATAAATCAAAATGGTTAGCTGTTGCAAATGATCAATCGAGCTCTATAACTTTTTAATATAAACAAGTAAAATATCTTTTATTAGATCAGACAATAAAGCTTTGAATCAAATAAGTCACTTGTGATGAAATGATTATAACAGAAATAATGATTAAAGAGAAAGCAACAATTTTTGCTAAAGCTTTAAATTTGGGTAATGATGCTTTAAAATTTTTAAATAGATAGATTCATAAATTCAAATGATGTAACAACTTTAGAAAATTTTAATTACATAGTGAATCAAATAGTGCATCATTATCTTTACTTCCAGAATATAAAAAAAAATTACACAGTTTGATTGAAAATTATACATTAGATAATATGTTTAATGCAGATAAAACAGTACTATTTTTTTATATAACACTAGATCAAACTTGCATCTCAATCAAGATCTGGTTTTAAAAAGGCTAGTTTATTATAACACTTGTAATATTGATATTTAAAACTTTCGCAGATTGAATGACATGATTCAAATATTATTCAAGCTATTATTCAAACTGTTATTCAATGCTAGCACATAATTTTGCAAACATGCATGTCTGTAAAATTATATACTAGCATTAAATAACAGTTTGAATGATAACTTAAATGATATTCAAATTGTTATTTAATACAGTTAAAGTTTTAGTAAATTTAATATAAATGATTGTTTTATTTTAAAAATTTAATTTTTATATTATTACTTTATTAGAATTATTCACAAATTACTGTTATGTTAGCATATAATGCAACTGAAATAGAAAAATTAAAGCTGTTAGTAATCAGATCATTAATCTCACTTCACACACTTTTCCATATTAATTATGACACTTTACCTGTTATTTATTGTGCAAATTCTTGTACTTGGATGAGAAATAATATATTTTCAGAATAATTAAAAGATTTAGACCAAAGATTTCATATTCAAAATCATCAAGTCTTGTTACTAATAGATAATGTTTTTTCATATTTTCATGACCAATCTAATATTGCTAATATCAACAAATTACATAAATCAGATGGATCAAATGTTAATGCAAAGAAAGAAATATTTGATAATAATTTAGAACCTAAAATATTAACTATCTTATGTGGGAATCGTTAAGGTTGAGATAGACTAAGATTAATTACAACTAATCAAAATTCAAGCAATAGTTATAGTAACCATAGTAACTGTAATAATCATAATAACTGTAAAGTCATGGTGGTCATAACAGTTATGGATATTATAGTACTAGTAGTAGTATGGGCCATTATAGCAGTAGTTATGATAACTTATGCCCTATACTTGATTATTCTAGTATATGATTAACTAACATTAAACTTAAATTTTTATCTTCAAATATGACCTTCCACTTTTAGTCTATAGACATAGATATTATTAAGAGTTTCAAATCTAAATATAAGCAAAGATATGTTCAATATATATTAATGCAGTTTGAAAATAATAAAGATTTAAAAAAGTAAAGAACTTATGCTTTAACTATATAAGGACTACTTATTAAGTATAATTGAAAGCCTGATTACAAGTTTTCTCTTGCAGCATTATTAATAAATTTTATCTCTAATTATATTTTTAATTTTTAATTATATAGAAATAAAATAAATATTAAGGTTACTATTTATTACATATTTGAGTCATAAGATGGCATTGAAAATTTCATGATTAACAATTGTTAAAATAAAACTAGAATATTGCTATCAGTTTTTTATAAAGAAATTAAACTTGCCACTTGTACTCAAAATGCAGTATTAAAGCAGCAAAAACAGGATATTAGCATGTTAGTAGTGAATTTAACTTCTCAAGATCCAGATTCAGAAATTGAAGATCTATTAAATACATATTTAGATTTCAACAATTTGCATATTATAACTGAGGAAAATTTTGATGATTCTAAAATTATCAAAGTTGTATTAGATGAAGCAAATCAATTTAAACATGAAGATTCTGATGATTCAAATGAAGAAGAACCAGAAATTTTAATATTAGAAGGATTAATAGGTTTAAATAAATTTATATGTTTTTTTGAACAACAAACTGATCCTAATTTTAAGGCCAAGGATTTTAAAAGTTTTCAGAAATATTTAACTTTAGTAAACTGAAAATATAATAAATCTAAATACCAAACTTCAATTGTTAATTTTTTTATGATACAAGAAAGTTCACAGAATTACGATAATTAAATTACATTGTATAGTACTGTAATATATATCTAGTATGTACATAACTTTAATTTGCATTTTAGCAATTCAAAAATAAAATAAAATTACTAAAATATTTTATAGTGCTTATAGCTAAACTTGGTGTAAATAAAAAAATCTTAGATAAACATTGTAAATAAGATTTTTTGAAAATTTATTAAATTATGTTTATTCATTAAATATACCATAATTATTAATTTTAAAGTTTTAGTTATTAAAGCCAATTCATAGCACTCATAACTTTTTGATTAAAATAAAGTTAAATCTTTAAAAGGTCTATATGCGCATTAATTGTTCTGCAGATTATATCTTTTTCATTTGTACTCTTTTCTTTTATAATAAATCATATACTTATCTTAACACAAAAAGAAATATCCTAGTTTGAATAAAATTGTTCAGTTAATTTTCTTGTCTATGTAACTATTGATAAAATTCAAATTATTAATAAAATAAAAAAAAGAATTTATTTTGATTTTCAACAGCATTTCCTGTTATTAGAATTTTAATTAGAAATCTGATCAAAGCAGTGATTGAAATTATCTATGAATTAAAATATCCCAAATTCTTTAGAAATAAATTTTGTTTTAGACAAGAATAAAAAATAAAAATAAATAAATGCCTTGTTTAAATAAAAATTGATTTTGCCAAAGAATTGGAATTAAAATTTAGTTTAATTTTTTAAAACTGAATTGTTTTTTTTTTTAAATATTAAGATAAGTACTTGCGATCCAGGATTTTATTGATAATACATTCAGCTAATGGTTGCTTTACAACCACAGAGAGCAACTATAGAAAGAGTGTACAACTAGCTACTTATATAACTTTAGTCATTGTCTAATTTAAGTAGTCCGCCTGAGGTTCTATACTAGCTGCCATATCTGGAACCTGCTTGTAGCTTCCCTATTTAACTACTCTGTTCCCATATCTACCTATTTACCTACACCTACCAAGATGCTTCAGTTGATACTGGTTCAAATATGCCATGGTTACTAAGTCTTTAAAGCAGTTCACTTATATAGAGAACCATTGACCTCATACTAAACCTTTTAGAATCTTCTGTATCCCATTCTTACAGCTAACCTGGTATCACTATGACTAAGACCAACACTGGTGGTCAGGGTGTATCATTAAACCACTATATCCTTGTAGAGTTCACTCTAACCCTAGTATTGACTTCACAACATAGCTTTACTACTTTGGTATTCAATTAAAGTTCCACCAAACTGCTATTCCAGATAGCCTAAAAAGGTAGGTCGAAACCATACATCTCTGGTTTACATGTTTGCCAGCATATGCCTTTTTTCTCCAGAACCTGAAGATTCTGGCAGCCTGGTTGGTTCATTTAGTCTCTCCTCAAAGACTAGCACATTTGCTCGGTTTTACAAGTTCTAGCTCTGTTTCATAAGTCTAGTCTTTACAGTAGCACTGTCGAAGGTTTAAGTTATTTTTCTACTTAGGTCTTCCAAGTAGGCTTCTATCTTCCTACCTAGTTTCTGTAGTTTACACAGCCTAAGGACTTATCTTGGGTTCACACCACCTAGTACCAGTTTGTGTTTTCTCGTATAACATTGTACGAGTGCCTAGACCTTTCAGTCATTCTGGTATAACACAGGTTATAGGTATTCTATCCCAACAAATCACAGAAGACAGTTAGCTGTAACATGGAAAGAATTGCAAATTTTCACTGTCACTGGGATTTGAACTCTAGACCTGCCACTTGGGGGTTGACAACCTATCCACTTCACTAGGTTGCCACACCCTTATTGTTGCACTTATTAATGACCTGTTGTTATTATTATTATTAGAAAAATCACATTTATGTTTATTGCTAAGAAATGAAAAATAATATTAATTTAGTAAATATCATTATACTTTTCTCAGATTAAATTAAAATAAACAAAAAATACTAATTACCTATTGCTAGCATTATTATCAGAAGACATATCACAGTTACTATCAGAACTAGCATATAAGAAATAAAATTAGATATATATAGTAAATGTCTTATATACTTTCCTTAGACTAAAATAATCTTGAAAGTATTAATTACCTAATATTTTTAGAAAAAGTCTCATAGCTACAACCATGACTACAACCATAACTATGATTACAGCTACGACTATGGCTATAACCATAGTTATGACCATGGCTATAACCATGGTTATAACCATGGCTATGACCATAGTTATGACTAGAGTTACTATTACTACTAGATAAGAACATAGTTTAGTAAATGCTTTTTATTATGTAATTTTTTTTTTAACTAAATTTAATTAAAATACTGTAATCTAAAAAGTATAGGAAATATTAATTTACTTATTGCTACTATAATTTGGGAGAGACATATTACAGCTATGACTAGAGCTAGAAAATAAGAAAGTTTAATAAATGCCTTTTACAGTATAATTTTTTTTAACTAAATTTAAATAATATAATTTAGAAAGTATTAATCACCTATTGCTACTATTATTTTCAGAAGACATACTAAGCCTATGACCATAGTTATAACTAGAGCTAATAAATAAGAAAAAAAGTTAGATTAGTAAATGCCTTTACAATTTTCTTTTTGATTAAATTAAAATAGATAATTGGAAAGTATTAATTACTTATTGCTATCCTTATTTTTGGAAAACATATTATAGCTATAATCAGAACTAGAAAATAAGAAAGTTAATAAAGCCTTTTATAGTATATGTTTTTTTTTGACTAATTTAATTTACCTATTACTATTACTATTTTCAGTAGACATATTAAGGTTAAGACTATAGTTATAAGAGCTAATAAATAAGAAACAAAGTTAAGTTAATAAATGCCTTTACAATTTTCTTTCAGACTAAATTTATAGCAATAAATAAATAATCTGAAAAGTACTAATTACCTATTGCTATGATCAAGAGACATACCATAGCTAGAAATAAGAAATGAAATCAGGTCAGATTAATTGCCTTTATATTTTTTTTTTTAGACTAAATAAGTGTCTAAAGTGAAAACTTAAAAACAAATTTTTAAGTTTATTACTATAGCAGACTTAGTATTATTATATTATGCTATTGTGCTAAGTTTGCTACAGTAATAAACTTAAAGATTTGTTTTCAGGTTTTCACTCTGAGCACTTAAATTAGTGTGAAAGATCCAGATAACCTATTGTTAAAAGAAAAGCCATCATCACAAATATGACTAAAAAAATAATTAATAAATAAGGTTAACAGCTTTATTATACTATACTTTATTTTAATTAAATAAATGAATTAAAAATACTACAGTAATTATCTATTACTATTACTAAGAAAAATGTTACAGTTATGACTCAAAGAAATAAAACAGTAATAGGCATAAGAAAATAAAAAATAAAGTTTAAATTAGCCTTTTTGTATTATTCTGAATATAGAAGAATGATCTGAAGGATATAAATTAAGATATGTAGCATATTATAATAATAATCATAAGAAATACTATATCTATAACTAGTATTTCTAATATTTATATTATATGTTTTACTGTTATTCATATCTATACTGTCTATTTTACTATTGCTATATCTATATTTACTAGATTCACTAGGTTTACTATACTTACTAGATTCAGTACTACAACTATGAATGCATCTATGACTATAACTATGTTTATGACTATAACCATGTCTATGATCACAACTATGACCACATCTATGACCATATTTATGATTAGAATCTTCATTGTCTGTTGCAATATTCTTTTTGTAAGTTCATAGTTATAATTAAAAAGTTCTCATTAAAATTTTTTTTTCAATAAATAATTTTTTTTTTAAAAAAAAAAATTAGATTAAATAATTTACACAGTTATCAGTTTGACTTCTTTCTTTATTATTACTGTTCACTGTACTATAAGAAGTCGCATTATTAATTAGTAATAAGACTCTTTTGTCTTTAACCTAAAATTTATAGTCTAGATTCTTTAATTATTCTTCAAAAATGTCTTGTTTTATCTATGCGCTTGCATTATTTTTATAGGTTACAAGTAATACAAAATAATCCTTAACTTTTTTAAAGCAATGTGGTTTATTAGATTTACCAATAACAAAAGGTTTGAGTTTTTTACTACTAATAGAATTTGTTATTAACATTATTGTCAGTTGACTTTTATTCTAAAAATTAATAAGATATGTTAGTAGTTATTTATTAAATTAGATATAAGCACTGCATAAGAAAAACCAAAAAGTGAATATTTAAGTTATTATTATAACTTCTGCTATAGTGATAACTTAAATATTCACTTTCTGGTTTTCTCTTTGAAGCACTTATATTACTTTTTTTTCTAGATACAGGGCTGGATAATAAAGTTTGATTGGATTTTATTCTATAAAATAAATCTTTTTATCAGTATTGAATATAGTTTCAGGTTAGTACCTTGCAATTAGAGTTCTTAATTTATTTCACATGTCCAGTAATAATTCAATTAGTGTACTATTGGCTTTTTTATAAATTTTATGCACCTTTAAATTATTTCTTTGCTTAAATTCACTTAATCATCTATTAGAAAACTTTATATCATCAACAGAAATATTCATAACTATTACATAATAACAAGCTTTTTCATATAATAAATTTTCTAAAATTGATAAACCAGATGCTATCACTTAATTAACCCAAATATTAAGAGCTTTTTTTAAATCTGAATGCTTAACTCTACTCTTACAAAAAGTATTATTAATAGTTTCATTAACTGTAAAATTTATTTATTTTTCTTTATTAGATAAAATTTTTAATATTGTCAACTTATCTAAACTTATTTAATATTTAAAATTAAACTCATCTTTAATCTTATTTTGTGTTTTATTTAGATTTCTTTGTTTAAACAAACAGATTTCTTTTTTTAGTACATAAAAAATAGCTGTTCTTTTTTGCTTTTCTTTAGTGTTAGGTTTCATAGTATAACTTTAATGTTTCAATTTTAGATAATCTACTAACTTTTATTATTATATACATAACAATAAGATTAGACAAGCATATATGTGCTACAAGAGAAACCAGATACATATTAATTATTTGTTATTACTATTGCACTACTGGTATATTGATATTTATTATAGTAATAACTTAAATAATCAATTCTTGGTTTTTTCTTTGCAGTACTTAATTTTAAAGTTATTTAAAGAATTTAATATTATAATTAAAAAAAAGTTTAAAATTTAACTATTATAAATAGTTAAAGTATTGATTTTTTTTAAAAAATATTAATTTGTCTAGTTACTACTTATATTATTTGTGATTATAATTAGAAAAAATTATATATACTTATTATTATATAGTTCTTAAAAAATTATGTGATAGTGATTATTATATTAATGTGATTATAAATAGAGAAATTAAACTTAAAAAAAATAGGTCTAAAAATTTTTGTAACTTTATTAAGGTTGTGATTATAGCTAGAGTAACTATAACCAGAATTGACTGTATTTCTATTTGCTTTTCTCTTAGTATTGTTAAAATTGCAACCTATATTGCTACTAACTTAGCTATTGTCAATGTTTGCTATCTTTCTAAATCTAATGCTAC